AATGATGAGGGCAATGAATGTACAAATGCACTTTACACAATTGATGTGTATATGGATTGTGATGAGTTGTATGAGCCCCTAATAAAATGATTTTAAAAAGAAAAAGAACTAGGTTGGTAAACATGTTGCTGTGATAAAATCAAACATCCATTCAATTGCAGTGGTCCTGACTAATGTTGAATGTTTATATATTGACATTTTCTTTGGTAGTTAAGTTGTGTGCGTTTTAAAAAATGTAAAAACAGAATTATATTGTGCAAATTTGTTTTTTTGACTCTAAAATATTTTTCTGTTTTAGGGCTTCTGTATGCAATGTACTGTTGACTTGCTGCAAAGATAATGTCTGCCGTCTTTGGGTAGAGACATTTTTACCAAATGATTGTTTGCTGTATGGAGGTGACTGCAGCCATTGGACTGAACCAATTAATTTAACAAATAACATCAAGAGAAATGCTTCCAGCAAAGAACGAGTTCAAAATGCTTTAGATGTGAGTGTTTTTGTTAGATGGTATTGCTTATGTTTTACTACTTTTTATACATGATCTTTTTATACAGTCATTCTAATTAGTGTACAAAGGCCCATGTGATAACATGGATACATCAAGAAAACAATTTTCAGGAATTTGTTTCAAATATATATACTGAGAGACTAAGACATAAAACTACTTATGACTGTGAAGCCACTTGAATATAACATAGTTATGTAGCTCTTTGAGTGTTGCTTTTTTTGATATTGGAAACAGCAGTTGATCTCAAAATAGTTTATCTTTGAAAGCTTTGTATTATTAAGGAGCAACTGTTTGTTTTCTCACATTTGGGTAGTATTGGTTCTGAATAGGATTAAATATATATCGTGTGGTACTTGGTAACTGATATAATGTCTTTGTGTAGTAATAGCTGGAAGAATTTCTTTACTGAATTAGAAAGCTTTTCTTTGGCTTTTCCCTCTGCCTCGTGTTAGCCAGATGACCTTTGGGGTTTGTGTGAACTGTTTTCTCCTGAGAAAACTGAAAATAATCATACTTGCACTGCCTACCCTATCAGGTCAGATGAAATGATAGCTGTGAAAATGCGTTGTAAATTATAAAAATACCATTCTAATATATGATAGTGATATTATTTAGTTCTTGAGTAAGGCAAGTAATTTGTAGGTGTAATAAAAGCTGTATGCTTAAAGATATTATTTCCATAGGCACATTATTATAAACTTTTTTTTAAGCTTTTAAGTTCAAGGAATTAATTAGAAGAACATAAACCAAATACAATTTAATCATAGAGTACTGTGTAAAGATTAACAATCAGATAAGCAATTTTAAGTCCTGACCTTATTCTTTAGGTTTCACATTTGCCATGCAAAAATTTTTAAAGAGGAGTGTGGAGGGAAGGTGGGATAGAGAGAGGGAACCAATTACAAGGATCTTCATATAACTTCCTCTCTGGGGACGGACAACAGAAAAATGGGTGAAGGGAGACGTTGGATAGTGTAAGATATGACAAAATAATAATAACTTATAAATTATCAAGGGTTCTTGAGGGAGCAGGGAGGGAGGGGAAAAATGAGCTGATACCAATAGTTCAAGTAGAAAGCAAATGTTTTGAGAATGATGATGGCAACAAATATACAAATGTGCTTGACACAATGGATGGATGGATTGTGATGAGTTGTATGAGCCCCCAATAAAATGATTGAAAAAAATTTTTGAAAGATAGTTTTACATACTTATAAGATAATCTGGTCTAGACTATATCTGTCATTTATTTTATACATGTGTTATTTACTCTATACATCTGTGACTTATAACCATATGAGCATTGGTTTTACTCTGGTTTTCTTTTTCTTTCTCTTTTTTTTACTCTGTGTTTCATTCACTCAGGTAAATCTGAGGCATTTTCGTAGAGGTCGGAGGAGATCACTTGCACTTGCAGCACATACTGGATACCTGCCGCATCAGCAGGATCCACATCATGTTCACAGAAATACTCCACTGCATGCGAATGCACTTTGCCACTTTCATATTGCTGCCAGCATCAACCCAGCCACAGGTAATAGCAGACTGTTCAAAAGATACTTTGGGAATTCGGTAGATTGTTTTTATACTTTGTTATACTTTCAGTTTTTAAATAAGTTAGGAATGACAATTTGAACTAACTTTTCATTCTACCCACCTCATTTGTTACACAGAAAGAAGACTTTATTTTCATTTTAAGGTCATGTTTGGGTTGTACTTTAAGATCTTAATAAGTCATTGAGATGCTCAAACTCTCTGCCATTGAGTCTATGCCAACTCACAGCAATCCAAGAGGACAAGGTAGAATTGCCCTACTAGGTTTCTGAGACTGTAACTCTTTATAGGAGTAGGAAGCCTGAGATACGCACTGTTAATTCGCTGGAAAACTAAAATCTGAGTTAAGACTCAATACGAGGGTTCCTTACAAAGTATTGCTACTCGGGTTTCATCTCATACATGCAAGGGCTTATCCCAAACAAAATGTGTTGAAACATGTCTCTCTGATCAGTGGATAGCTACAGTAAAGTTCTCCCAGTAATACACCTGGACTAGCCTCTTTAGGTTGCCTGCCACAACAACAAAAAAAGCTTGCACAAAGATCAATTAGCTCAGTCTTTCCATCAGCCTTTTAAGTAATATCGAAGTTAATGAAGATGATTAGAGGGAACAAATCATTAAACAGGGCCAAGTCTTGGACTGTCCAGTACTATCCAGAGAGCCAAATCCAATCAGAACAGTGGCTTCTGAGAGGATCTGGACCAGTTCAATTTAAGGCAAATAATTCAGCTCTGATAAGGCTATGGTGATTAATTTGGAGATTCCAAAGGAATAATCTTGATTTGTCTCAAAGAACATAGGATGATCACAGGGGCTTATTATAAAGAAGTGTAAAGAAAATGTAAAACTGCCTTCCTGAGAAAACTAAGTAAGTTATGCCAAGAGACATTTTTTTCCCATCACAACAACAATGTAACTGCTCTATCTTTGGAACTTACCAAGGACTGTCCTATGAGAATTTTCTTGGGAAACATTATTTCATCTACCTTACGGTTCTGATCTTGCTCCTTCAACTTTCCTTTGTTCTCAAAACTCAAAGAATATTTGAAAGGAATGTGAATTTGAGTCCCTCAAGGATACCAAAACAGCAAGACTATACATTGTGAAAATGTCAATATTACTAAAAATTCTTTACAGTTCAATGCAACTCAAATGCAAGTCCCACAATTCTTAAAAAAATCACAGAAACCAATCACCAACTTTATATGGAAAGGAAAGAAACCCAGAACAAATAGAACACTATTAAAAAATAAAAACCATGTAGGAGGCCTTTCACTCGTAGACTTTAAACTCTATTTTATAGCCATGGTAACCAAAACAACCTGGTACTTGTACCTACAATGGTACATATGGAGACCAGTGAATTAGAATTCAGAACCCAGAAATACAACCAACTACATTAGGCATATTATCTTTAATAAAGGACTAAAACACATTAAGTGGGCAAGAGATAGCCTTTTCAACAAATAGTACTGGAAAAATGAGATCTACACCAGAAAAAGTATGACACAGGACCCGTCCCTCACACTAAGTAGATGAACCATTGCCCTAAATAAAAAGCACAGAAGTATAAAGACCATCAACAAAAAAATAGGGGCATACCTAAGTACCCTAATAACAGGTATAAACACACAGCCAAACATAATGAAAAATAGCCACAGTATAGAAGACAAAATAAAGAACTAGAACCTACTAAAAATACCACATTTATACACATCAAAACTTTTATCAAAAGAATTTACAGAGAACCCACAGATTGGGGAAAATAGTAATAATATATAAAGGGCTAATCTCCAAAAATCTATAGAAAAGTACATCTTAACAAGGAAAATTCAAATAACCCAGTCAAAAATTGGGCACAAGACATTAGTGGACAGTTAACCAAAGATGGCATACAGATAGCTAACAACTATATGAAGAAATGTTCATGTTTATTAGCAATAAGAGAAATGTGAACAACAATGAAATACCAACTCACACCAACACTTATAGTAAAATTCAGTAAAACAAAATAATAAATGCTGGAGAGGATGCAGAGAGATCAGAATGCTTTTCCATTGCTGGTAGTACTGTAGAACTGTACAACCACTGTGGAAATCAACACAATACTTTCTTAACCAAATACAAATACAAGTACCTATGATCCAGCAGTCCCTCTACTAGGTATACTAAAGAAATCAAGAATACAACATGAGCAGACATATGCAGACCTATGTTTATTGCAGAAATTTCCATAATAACAAAAACATGAAACAACCAAAGAAATCTGATTATGGAGGAATGGATAAATAAAAGCAGTGAAAACTCTCTTAAATACCACAGACATGGGCAACACTAGAGAATATTATGCTAAGTAAAACTTAGTCTTCCAAAGGCAAATATTGAATAACGTCATTATTTTAAGGAAAGAAAAAGAAATGTGCCTCATACACAAAAGAGAAGATTTTGATGGCTATGAGGAAGCTAGGGACAGGAGCAGGAATGGGGGAAGGGAAGGATGGGATATTAAAGAAGCAGGGAAGTCTGAAGAAGGGGAGGAGAAAGGCAACTACACTTTTCCATTTGTGAGGATTTGGGTCATCTTTACATTGAGTCACAATCATGCTTAAGGCTACAATCCTTGTTCCTCATCAGCAAGTCCCACAGTGCCTTAAGACTGCCTCACTTAATATAGATAATTCCTATAAAGAACCAAATCTTTACAACTGAAACAGTAGGAAACATCATGATAAAAAGAGAAAAGGTCGAAATGGTCAAGAATTTCATCTTGCTTGGATCCACAATCACTGATCACGGAAGCAGCAGTTGAGTTGAAAGGATACATTGCATTAGCTAAGTCTGCGGAACAAGACAGCTTTAAAGTGTTTAAGAGCAAAGATGTCACTTTGAGGACCAAAGTGTCCCTGACTAAAGCCAAGATATTTTCAGTTGCCTCTTATGCATGTGAAAATTTGCGATCTATTGAAAGTCAGCCCTCGACACAAGGGTTTGTATAAACAAAAACAAAAAAAAGAAAAATCGAAAATTGGACAATAAAGAGGAAAGAAGAATTGATGCATTTAAGTTATACTTACTGGTAAGAATATTGAATATTGTAGACTGACTGCCAGTCAGTCTAGTAAATCTGTTTTAGAAGTAGTTCAACCATAATGTTCCTTAGTGGGGCCTTATGTCATATAATTTGGGCATCTTATCCAAGGAGACTAGTCCATGGAAAAAGATAATCATTCTTGGTAGAGTAGAGAGGCAGCAAAATAAGAGGGAGACTCATAAAAGTCACCCCAACTGTTTGTTGACTCAAACCTAACAATTGTGAACATGGTGCAAGAGTGGACAATGTTTTGTTCTGTTGTACATTGGATTTCTGAGTTGGGGCTGACTTGACACTCAACAACAAATAACAGAGTGTCTGTCGGAGAGCTTATGAAAATCTGTTCTTTTAGTTCTAGATTTTAGATCTGTACAATGAATAGCTCTCAGAAAAATTATTGCAGTTCTTCAGATAGCTGATTCTATCTTGTTTTGAATGCCTTTCTTGAAAATGAGAAGGGATTCTCAATTTCTTGTTTTCTAACTTCAATCTGGATACTATTGTAAATGAATAAGCAGTGTACTCTTAGAGTTGGATGGATAGGGTCATCAAAGAAGTAAATATGTTAGTTCTTATGTTATAAAAAGTGGTGTTGGTAATGAAGTACATATACAAAAGTACTTCAAAACGTTTGTGGAAAGATGAAACTCAAAGTTAATAGAATTTTTCCACAAGTGTTTTGAAGTCCTTTTGTCACCCTGGAATCCTTGTTGGGCAGTGATCAGCAAGCTCAGCAGTTCAAAACCACAAGTTATTCCCAGGAAGAAAGTTGGGGCTCTCTCCTCCCATAAAGAGTTACAGACTTAGAAACTCACAGGGGCAGTTTGACCTTGTACAATAGGGTCACTATGAATCAGCATAGATTCAATGGTAGTGAAATTTTGTAACATGCTTCCTTGATAACCTGATGATGGCATTTTCACGGTAGTTCTGGGTTAAAACATGCTATTATTAAAGTTTGGGTATAAACTAAGGTTTTTCTATTAATATATCTAAAATATTACAGACTTTTAAAATGAAACTGTTAGGTTAGTAGTAGAGAAAATATTTGTATGATTGAATAATTTAGATGATATAACCTAGAGTATACACAGGAACTTCAAAAAGCTTATCATAAAAAAGAATTTTAAAATGATAATTTTTCTTTAAACTTTTTGAAACCCTCTAGTATAATGTTATCTCCTAGATAATAGTTAGGAGCCTTGGCTGTGAATTGGTTAAATATTCAGCAGCCCCCCTGAGGGAAAAAGATGTGGCAGTCTGCTTCTGTAAAGAAACTGTGGAGCAGTTCCACTCTGCCCTGTGGAGTTGTCATGAGTCGGATTAAACTCGATTCCAGTTGGTTAGTTTTGTTTTTAGTTATACTAGTGTGTTAAATTTATCTTTTAAGTCTGTTGTCAATAATAGTGGTGGATAATAATTTATGTTGGAAGTCTTACTTAAAGGTTAATAAATAAAATGTATTTCAGAGGCTTAGAAAAAATATGTAACAGTCATTACTGCATGTCATGCATGAACCCTAAATCTTTTGTATGCTGGAATGATAATGTTTTTATATTTTAATTTCTATGTTCCTCATACCTAGATATTCCACTTCTTCCTTCTATTACATCCCTAAGCCTCAATGAAAATGAAGAAAAGAGTGGACCTTTTGTTGTACACTGGCTGAACAATAAAGAGTTGCATTTAACTTTGTCCATGGAAGTCTTTTTACAGCAACTTAGAAAAAGTTTTGAGCAACCTTCTTCTGAGGCCAGTGTGGAAGACTGTAATCCAGCTGATGTAAAATCTGATGAAGGTAAGTTTTAAAAAGGATAAAAAATTAAATGTTTGATTAAAATGCCAATTAAAAAAAAATATTGGCGTACCAGTAGAGATTGTCAGAAACAAACTTCAACTAGCCTAATACAAATTTGAACGAGCTCATTTCATAATCCAATGTAGGTATTCCTATTCCAGATCCGTTTTTCTCTAGGATGATTCAGGGACTCAGACTTCCTCATTCCTGTTAATCTGTCGCCTTGTTTGGGAAGGTCCATCTACCACTTCCACTGAGCTTGTTAAAAATGCAGAAGGAAAGACTCCAACCAGATTTAGAAATCTGTAAATTAACAAAATCCCCAAGTGCTGTATATGCATATTAAAGTTTGAAAAGCATTGCCCCTGGACCTTATATTCCTCTGCATTTAGCCTGTGGTTAGGTAGAGAGAATTAAGAGATGGTATAGTTCCTTTTCTATTGCCTTTACTCAAAATTGACACATAATACATTCATTCACATTCCAGTGGCAAGAATTAATCATGGGGTCCATGGCTTGTCTCTGACTGGATGCACTAAAAAAAGTAGAAGCATTTGGTAAAAGGAACTTGGTGTAGTGCTTATGCCTTGGGCTGGACCGTTAATTTCCAGGTCAGCTTTCTAAACCCACCAACCACTCTAGAGGAAACATGAGGCTTTCTGCTCCTGGAACTATATACAGCCTCCGAAACAAAAATGACAGGTCTCCTCTGTCCTTTAGGCTCACAGTGAGTTTGTTTTACTTAGTTTTAATGATTTATCAGAGCCTTGGTGGCATAGTAGGGTATAAGTTTGGCTGCTATTGAGAAAGATCAGCAGTTCAAACCCACCAGTTGGCCCTGGGGAGAAAGATGAGACTTTCTGCTCCCCTAAAAATTTTCACTTTCTTTAATAACAAATTTTCATTGTAACTTAGATGGAAGTTTACATTGCAGATCATCAACTTTGCATTCAATAATTTGAACCACTAAACAAACTCCCCTGCTGTCATAAAATTTTACTGCCTCAGAAACCCAATGGGGCAGTTCTTTGTCCTAGAGGGTCACCACGAGTCTTAAGTTGATTCAGCGGCACTGGGCTGGTTGACTTGGTATGATTTGTACATAATTTTGCTTAAAAAAAGTTTCCTTGTTTACTTTGAATCATAAGCTTGTACATTCTCATTAGAACACCACAATCAAATAGTACAAATGATAATAACATTTTCATACTGTTTGATAAGTGCCTTTCGAGACTCATTCTTCTTATGCTTATGTGAATATGTGTGTTCAGACTTTTTTATTGCATTATGGATATTCATTTTTTAAAACAAACTCAATATTTGTTTTAAAAAACATCGAATTCTACTATACAGTGTCCTGTAACTTGATTTTTTGTTTCATAGTGGGCAGTCTTGTTATTTTTACAAATGCTGAGTGTTCCATGTTAAGAGAACTTAAATTTTTAAAATTATTTTATTAATAGACTTTTAAATTAATTTTTCTCGCTATATTAATAATGGTGCAAGGATTCTTCATAGCTTAGTTGATTACATGTTGGGATGCTAACTACAAGGTCAGCCATTCAAAATCACTGGCTGCTCTTCAAGAGAAAAATAAGGCTTTTTACTATTTTAAAGAATTATCTGAGAAACCCACAGAATCAGTTCTGCCTAGTAGTCCCTTCGCGGTACTATGAGTTGGAATTGACTCAGTGGCACTGAGTCGTGTTTGTTTGGTTTAATAATGGTACAGAGAAACACCTTATCTTTGTGACATTTTTGGTAAGGTAGATTCCTAAAATGGAATTATCAGGAAGGAGCTTTAGTGGTGCTGTTGGGAAGCACTGGACTGCTAACCACAAGGTTAGATGTTTAAACTCACCAACCAACTTGTAAGAGAGAGATGAGTATATCAGCTCCTATAAAGATTTATAGCCTCAGGACCCCTATAGGGTTAGCTATAAGTCAGAATCCTCTCAATGGCTGTGAACTTGGTTGTTGCTTTGTGGTATAAACACTTTAAAGTTCAATAACTTCTGCCAAATTATCCAGAAATAATTTATTAGGTTATAGTTGCTGCTCACTTCCAGGCAGTGAGCAGAGAGAGAGTCTGCAAGGGAGTGAGCAGAGAGAGAAGGTGTCTCCTGCCTCCAAGGAGGAAATGCAGGAATTCCCAGAGTCCTCAGGGGAAGGCCATGCCCACACAGAGGCCTCATTGCCTCTATAACCAAATTGACAGACTAGACTTCACCCCTTTAGCCTCTCTAGTCCCAAATTGACACCAGATTATGTAACTACCACACCAGCATTGAATCTCAAAAATATATTAATTTTTCCCAGTTGGTATGAGAAATATCATGTCTTGTTTTACTCTGCTTTTCTTGTCACAAACAGATAAAATATTTTTATTTATTAGCCTTTCTTTTCTGGCTTGCCTTTTTACATGCTTTGCCTAATTTTAGTTTTTTCTTTATCTTATTAATGTGTTTTCTTAACTTAAATTTTTTTTTCAAGAGGTGAATTTTATTTTTAACGAGAGTTGAATTTTTTAACAAGATTTCTTTGCCACTTAGAAATCTATTTTTCCATAGCTTCAGTTAACAATATTCATTCATTAGGAAAACTATAATAAATAAAATATATTTCCTGTTTTTAATCTGCTCACAGTCTACTAGGATACTTTAAAAACTGCTCTATTCTTCAGAAGTTGGATAAACGTCTGATCTGAATTTCACTACCAAATGTATTTTTTTAATCGTTTTATTAGGGGCTCATACAACTTTTATCACAATCCATACATACATCAATTGTGTAAAGCACATTTGTACATTCATTGCCCTCATCATTCTCAA